TTGGGTTCATATAACAAACACCTAGTACCAACTTTTGGATTTTTTTTTGACAAAAGATAATCATATATTGATACTGAAACAAAGATCATTACATCATATGTCGTAACCAGACTACAAAATCAAAATAACGACTCGCTATCGGGTACAAAGAAAGGGCCTTCCTAGCCACCAAGTGGGCTACCCTGTTACTACGCCGACCAACGAACCGCACACTAAATCCAGCATTCTCAGCTAGTTAGAGAAGCACCTCGCGGAAATATCTTCCCAAGAACGCTTCCGCCCTCCCATCCCCATCACAAGAGTATTCGAGCCATATTCGTCAATCTGAGCAGGTACCTCGATTTCACTAGGCGGCTTACCCGCTCCGCCAACCCCATCAATAACCACATTTCCAGCTTCAAAGGCTTGGACCACCTGTCTAACCCGTCCGGACAAGATTGGTTGGTGGGCCGATTCGGACGAGCGAGCACCCCGAGACCGGATCTCAAACTGATCCGCAACTCCATCAGATAGAGTGGCGTCAGAGTCCTCCTCCACGGAACCCTTGATGTTATATGGCGGCTCCCATTCCTCTGACTCCTCATCAACAAGTACCATCTTCCCCTTGCGCACCCGATCAGCCTGTTGCACAGCCTCCATAGCAGCCTCCTCCTCCGCAACCACCGTATTGGCAGGCTGCTGCCGGACACTCGCCCGATCACGCACAGTCAAGGCAGCAGCGGGAGGGATCGCGGCCATACCCGAGGTGCGGATTGCATTCTCCCCGCCTGTCTCCTCCCATGCCAATCCTCCATTCCTAACCAACGTAGGAGCTACCGGTGCGTCATCCTACGATTCTTCGAGCAACAACTTGTGCCGCCTTGCTGCTTGTTGCAGCTGGGTTTGGGGCGAGGCATGGCCCTTTCGCGTCCCCCGCTTGTCTTTCTTCTTCCCCGCCAACCGCCTTACTTCCTGACCTCGATCCGCTGCCACCTGCTGTTTCCCGCCAGCTGGGATCGGAGCCGCAAGATCCTCCCCCGGCTTCTCGCCCTGCATCCCCGCACGACGTCGAGGCTGATCCCGACGCGTCTTGTCCTCCATTCCAGCCATGGGAACAACTGCACGCGACAGCTGCGGCGTGCGAACAGGTTTCGGGATCGCAAATCCCTTTGGACTAAGACGACGCCGATTCGTATCCACGGCGGCCTCCTCATGTTGGGCAGGCAACTTCCCTTCCTCCCTCAGCTGCCCCAGCCGAGAGCTGCTACCACCACGCGGACCAGTTCGATCGTGGCTACCAGCATGCATCCCCAAGTCAGCCGCACCAGCCTCTTAACGCGCCCTCCATCCTGGTTAGCCATCCCTTGAGTCCCTGGGCGTCGAGAAGGTTCCTCCCTACCAGTCTGCGGCCTCCGAATATTCGTATTAACCCAAACAATGGGAGTATGCTCCTCGTCCGCCGTGTATACCTTCACTCCCCGTCGACATGTGGACATGTGGATACCAAATTTCTCCTTTCGAGTAGGAGGATCAAAAACACACTCGCTTTGAAAATGTCCAACCCTCCCGCACTGAAAGCAGAAACTTTGGAGATGCTCGTACTTGAGCGATACCCAAAAACACCCTATCTCCTCATTAGTCGCCATTATATGAGACCGGAGCGGCTTGGAGAAGTCAATCAAAGCGCGAATCTTAACAAAACATTGATCCGAATCTTGAGAGGCAAAGACTCTTGTCTCTAGGATCTTTCCAATAGTATCATTGGCCATTTTGCGACCAAACTGTTGCGTGCAGCAATCCTCCTTTATATTCTATAGTTGGACATGAAACGGGGCCACTGCCAGCTCATCAAACAATTGCTTGGTGATCGAGGGAGCCCATGCTCGGACATGGAGGATACAATCATTGATCAGCCAAGGCGATCTTTTAATGACCCAGTTTTTGGAGGCTTCATTCGGTAGCACTATTTCGAACATGCCAAACCGCGTCACCATCACCTGGATCCTCCCCTTTCCTTGCCAAGGCGCATCCAGGGCTTCGCTCAGCTCCCTAGGCGTGAAGGGTTTGGCCGAGAACAGCCTCCCCAGAACCGATCGCGCAGCTCGATATTTGGTCGAGTGCACCTCCTCCAGCGTGAACTGCACCACCTGATCGTCAGACACGTGCGACATGTTTCCTTCCTGAACGAAACCTTCCCGCCGAGGAATAGTTAACGTGGTTTTGCTCACGTCCAAAGCTCCTGTTTTTTTCTCTGTTAAGAGTGAGATGATGGGAGACGTTCGGGTGAGCGACGTTATATAGAATTTCAGGAGACTCCTCCCGGAGCAAGGACTCCAAGTAAAGACGGTAAGTTTTAGATTTTTATTGGCAGTAGGAGTTTTAGAACTACGCATATAACCCTTCCCCGAGATACTAGGGATTCGCCCAAAACAGCAAAGGGATATCCGCTCACACCTACTGCCGGTACGCTGACAAAGCGGCAGATTCTTCGACCGGGCAAAATCAGCCTTAATCATCCAATCAGCCGCCGGCGATGGAATCGAGGAGCACCTCCCCGCCACCGTTGTCACCGCACGAAAACCGCGGTCCCCCGCAAGGCTGCAATCAGCCGTCAGGGGAGTCTCAGCTTGGAGATCATAATAGTCAGCACCTAACCCTGATTTTCCGACTGGCAACTGTTCAACACTTGAACAATCCTCGTCAAACGTTACTGGCGATCCCTGTCTCTTGACAGGTCGCAGATCAACAATCATACACTCATCCTCCTCCGTCTCCATCAAAGACGGTAGCGAGAATCGCCACCCACCTTTCGCTTCTTTATGCGTGCTTTTGGGTTTGGTTGATGATATTGGACATTTTTTTGGGCAGGTAATGAATAAGCGAGAAAGCGACCATGATTAATTGTTCAGTTTGAAAAATGTGATCAACCGACAGCGACACTGCCACCCATGTAGACAATGAACGTTACGTAACTAGTCAAGTGGAGAGAGTACGAAACCGAAAGGATTGGAACAGAAGCGAATGCAATACGTACCTTCCAACCTGATAGGATGCTAAGCTAAGTTGCTAAAGGTTCATCATAGGATACATAGTCTTGCATATATAGGATACATAGTCTTGCATATATATATGGGGAGTTCTACGGTACCCGGGGTGAAATCCGGGGTACCGTATACCTTGAGTAAGAAAATGCTATCGAGAACTTGAATTGACTGATCTTTCGGACATGATACTATACTCTAACCCTTAAAGATCAACACCTAGGTCTTAATTCTCTAAATCTTATACCCCAAGATAAATTTAATTGGAAACAATAATCGACGGTTATGATTCGTCCAAATATAGGCAAAAAAATCAATGCACCATCTTAGGGTTTATAGTTTATGATTTGGATAATTAGGACCTAGGGTTCACTCATTAAGGGTTAGGGTATAGTATCATGCCCAAAAATTCTGCTAATTCGAGGTCTAGATAGCGTTTTCATACTCAAGGTATCCGGTACCCCGGATTTCACCCGGGGTATATATATATATGGTGCCTTCTACGGTACCCCGGGTGAAATCCGGGGTACCGGATACCTTGAGTATGAAAACGCTATCTAGACCTCGAATTAGCAGAATTTTTGGGCATGATACTATACCCTAACCCTTAATGAGTGAACCCGAGGTCCTAATTATCCAAATCATAAACTATAAACCCTAAGATGGTGCATTGATTTTTTTGCCTATATTTGGACGAATCATAACCGTCGATTATTGTTTCCAATTAAATTTATCTTTGGGTAAAAGATTTAGAGAATTAAGACCTAGATTTTGATCTTTATGGGTTAGAGTATAGTATCATGTCCGAAAGATCAGTCAATTCAAATTCTGGATAGCGTTTTCTTGCTTAAGGTATGCGGTACCCCGGATTTCACCCGGGGTACCGTAGAACTACCCATATATATATATATGGTTATGTCTTCGGTGCACTCACTTTTTTGGGTGCATTCAATGCACCCGCCTCATAATCGTCATTCTGAGCAGGCGATTCATGTGAAAACGATGTCAATCATCACTTGTGGTATGATGAACAAGAACCACATGAATTTGTACAAAAATCATTCAAGATTCACTTTAATTTGAATGATTCAGGGTTTAGGAATTTAGGGTTAGGGTTAGGGTTTACAATTTGGGATTTTGGGTTGAGATTCAAAATTGAAGGTTAATAGGTTAGGGTAATGGGTTGATTAGTTGGGATTCTATGTTATATCATCATATTAGACTAATACAACCCATTAAATTTTAAAATTTAGTGTATTATGACCACTTTTAGAGGTGGGTGCACTGAATGCACCCAAAAAAGTGAGTGCACCGAAGTATATATATATATATATATATATATATATATATATATTTACAAGGGTGATATAGGTTTTATTTTGACTATGCATATATATATATATATATATATATATATATTTTACAAGGGTGATATAGTTTTATTTTTGTAATTAATGTATTACTTAATGAATTCAAACCTGGGACCTCAAAGTTCTAGGTTAGTGGTATTACCACTAGACGAAGTCCTTGTTCGTATAGTCTTGCATAATTATATTTGGATGCTTAATTTTAAGTGGGTTAGATTTAAGTAATGAGAAATTAATAGTTTCTTAATTTTTTCTATTTTTTAGTCGTTTTATCTCCTACGTTTTAATTTGGTTTCAAAAAAATTTACACAGAAGGAATAGGTTCATCTACAAAATGATATTCATTTTCAATGTATTTAGAGCAAAACAAAATTTCATACCATACATACCACTCGAAGGGCGGGAAAATGGTGCGTTTGCATCTAGACCGGACCATATATACGGTCTACGGTCCATACCAAGAGGTTGGAGTATAGACCACAGACTATACGGTCTAGACCACGCCTGTTTTTCGAGAACCACCTAAAGTTCCAACTAATAAAATAAAAAGATGAAATGATTTTTCATTAGCTTAAGTCGTAATTGAAGTAATGAGTCTCCCATATAAATATATATGAGAGGCTCATTACTTCAACTAGTCTCCGTGTTCCTCAAAAGTGATCCTACTGCTGTGAAAAAATATGCTAGACGCGCTCAATTGGGTGAAATTTTTGAATTAGATCGTGCTACTTTGAAATCAGACGGTGTTTTTCGTAGTAGTCCAAGGGGTTGGTTTACTTTTGGACATGCTTCGTTTGCTCTGCTTTTCTTCTTCGGACACATTTGGCATGGTGCTAGGACCCTGTTCAGAGACGTTTTTGCTGGTATTGATCCAGATTTAGATGCTCAAGTGGAATTTGGAGCATTTCAAAAACTAGGAGATCCAACTACAAAAAGACAAGTAGTTTGATACAAGATTTCTCTGTTATTTTTCGCTTCTATTTTCTTTTTTTAATTTCACTTTGAAATAAGATACCGGAGACATTTCGAATCTTGCTCTTTTTTCTATTTTCTACAGGGAACATATAGGGAATGATCCTAAATAAACAGGTATGGAAGCTATAATTGTAAACCACGATCGAATCTATGGAAGCATTGGTTTATACATTCCTCTTAGTCTCGACTCTAGGAATAATTTTTTTCGCTATCTTTTTTCGAGAACCGCCTAAAGTTCCAACTAAAAAATAAAAAGATGAAATGATTTTTCATTAGCTTAAGTCGTAATTGAAGTAATGAGTCTCCCATATAAATATATATGGGAGGCTCATTACTTCAACTAGTCTAGATAGACCAAAATGAATAATTTGATTAGTCAACCACATAAAATTGAACCAATAACCAAGAAAAAAAAATGTTTTTCTACCTTAAAACATAAATTCAAACATGCATGAATAATTTTGACATCATAAATCTCCGTAAATAGCAAAGATACAAAGTCAAAGCATTCTGACTTGCATCATAACGTCATAAACATTAACATAATTTCATATGGAGACACAATCGTCTTTACTCTCTGGTGAAATGTGCACCTGAAAGAAGGTGGTGACGAGATTCTCAAAATTAAGATTGAGACTTGGGTATCGTTGTGGGAGTTGAGAAAGTGGTCGAGTGGGCTGCTAACACGTATTGAGAAGTCGTTGGGTCCACGATTTGGTCCGATAAACCGCGGTCTAAAGCAGAACAGACCAAGAGATCAAAACATCATATAATGCAAATCGTGGATCAGGCCCAACCATACTTAACAGTTAACAATCTACGGTCCAGACCAAACTGTGCAGTCCGGTTTGGACCATAGTTTTCAAACGGTCTGGTCAATTTTTCCAGCCCTAACCACTCGTTACAACCTTGGTATCACTTGGTACCACCTTCGTTTTTAACTCGAATTTTAAAAACTTTTGCTTCGAAGGAACGAGTTCATCGTGATGTATTAGGTCTACAAATTTCTGGGGAAATTTTTTTACAACACATAACGTACCACCCTAACTGGTGGTTTATATTGATGAAAGGTGCTAAATGACGATTAATATATTTCTAATATCATGTATGCAACCATTCTACACTCTGGTGTGTTCATACCACCACGATGCACTTCCATACCAAATGGTATAATCATATGTACATATCAAGTAGTATCACATGGTATGGGCTGGTAATAAAAGTGCAAATTTTTTCTTCCAAAATATATCAAATTGGATGTCATTTTGAAACTCGCAATTAATCTGATTTTTCTGTGTAATTCTTTTTAGTTTTGTAAAATCTAGTGAATGCGGAAAGTAAAGAGACGACGATTTACGTGGTATCCCCATCAATCGACGGGACTAATCCACGGTGAGTAGAGCTCGAGTAGGGTTTTCACTATGAGAGAACAGAATAGAAATCTGTCTCGTATATGTTACAGAAACAGCCGCACAAGAGGCTTACTAATACCCTTCTATCGTGAGTAACCTAGGGTAATTAGGAGAGGCTATAAAATAACCAATAAGTACCCAAAACAAGTACTAATGACAAATACACGTCAACACGCCCCCTCAAGCTGAAGCATGCAGGTCACGAATGCCAAGCTTGGATAGTAGGAAATGAAACTGATCAGCGCCCAAGGCCTTGGTGAGAATATCAGCCAACTGGGAGGAAGAGCCAATCTTCAGAGGTTCGATTTCACCTGTGACCACGCGCTCACGCACAAAATGACAGTCCATCTCGACGTGTTTGGTACGTTCATGGAAGACGGGGTTCGCGGCAATGTGCAGGGCAGCCTGATTATCACAAAACAGCGGTGTGGAACTCGACTGAGGAACACCCAACTCAGTAAGAAGAAATCGTAGCCAAATGACCTCACTGACTGTGCTGGCCATGGCACGATACTCGGCTTCGGCTGAAGAGCGGGCAACGACACGTTGCTTCTTAGTACGCCAAGAAACCGGAGCAGAACCGAGCTGAATGTAGTACCCAGTAGTAGACCGGCGGGAAGACTGACAGCCTCCCCAATCTGCATCACAGTAAGCAGTGAGTTGGAGAGAACTGTCGGCGGGAAAGAACAGGCCCTGACCTGGTGCCGATTTGATGTACCGAAGGACCCGATGAGCAGCTGCAACATGTTCTGGTCCTGGAGAATGAACAAACTGACTCAAAACATTGACAGCATAGGCGATGTCGGGACGCGTTACTGTGAGGTACAGAAGGCGGCCGACCAAGCGACGATAAGAAGAAACGTCAACCACAACATCGGACGGAGCATAACTAGGGCGGGTGAGGGTGTGGTTCTGTTCCATAGGGAACCGGCTGGGACGAGAACCCATAGCACCTGCATCATGCAAAATATCTAGTGCATATTTGCGTTGAGAAAGCACAACGCCTTCCGGAGATCGAGCAACTTCAATACCCAAAAAGTACTTGAGAGGACCGAGGTCCTTAATGCTAAAACGAGCATCCAGAAAAGACTTGACCTGACTGATGAAGGCAGGATCATTACCGGTGAGAACAACATCATCAACATAAATGAGAGCTGCAATAAACCGAGTACCGCTACTGTGGATCAGGAGGGAGTGGTCTGCACGAGAAGGAACAAAACCAAGCTCACGGAGGGCAAGGGTGAACTTGTTATACCAATTGCGTGAAGCCTGACGAAGGCCATACAACGACTTACGTAACCGGCAAACTCGAGTATCACCCTGTTCAGCAAAGCCCATAGGAATCTTCATGTAGACTTCCTCCTCAAGATCACCATGCAAGAAAGCGTTGTTGACATCGAGCTGGTGGATCTGCCAACCACGAGCTACAGCAACAGCTATAAGAGTGCGAACAGTAACCAGTTTTGCCACCGGAGCAAAAGTATCATGGAAATCAACACCCTCAAGCTGAGTAAAGCCCTTGGCAACAAGACGAGCTTTGTAACGCTCCACAGAACCATCTGGATTATACTTGATCTTAAAGACCCACTTGGAATCTATAGCCTTCTTCCCCGGAGGCAATATTTCCAAAGTCCATGTACCGTTAGCCTCCAAAGCCAAAATCTCCTTGATCATAGCTTCCCGCCAACAGGCAAAGCGCACCGCAGAACGATAGGTTTTTGGTTCGGTGAGCTGAGAGATGGCAGCGAGGAATGCCTTATGCTGGGGAGAAAACCGATGATAGCTAACATGGTTAGAAATAGGGTAAGAACAAGTATGAGAGGAAGTACCAGGAAGATCCACATCATAGAGGTCAAGGTGCTGTGGGGGACGCCGAGCCCTATCCCCGCGACGGAGGGCCGGAGCGGCAGGAGGTGGGGCAGCGGGCGAGGTGTCTTCGGCAGTAAGGGACTCCTCGGCAGCAGGTGGTGCCGCGGCAGAGGGGACCTCGTCGGCAGGGGGTGAGGATGCATGGGGCGAAGAGGCGAGCGAAGGGGTAGCATGCAAGGGGGATGCGTGAGAATCACCCATATCAAAGCTCTCACTCAAGGCTTCATCAGCAACCACATGCTCCGTAACCAAAGGGTCAAGTGAAGGAGAGCAGTCGGCCAAAAAGGATGGACCAGAAGTAGAACGAGGCACCATATCCTCGCGAAAAGGAAACTGCATCTCAACAAAGTGCACATCACGGGAAGTGTAAACCTGTCGAGTCGTGAGGTCATAAAGGCGATATCCCTTCTGCGAATGAGGATAACCCACAAAAACACTACGACGACCCCGCGCACCAAATTTATCCAGCGAGGGTCGAGTATCCTTGGCATATGCCAAACATCCAAAGGAACGAAGGTGATCATATGTGGGTAACCTGCCAAGGAGTATTTCGAAAGGGGTCTTATTGCCGAGCACCGAGGAAGGAAGCCGATTAATCAAGTACATGGCTGTCAATACACAATCACCCCAAAATCGGACTGGTAAGCCAGCATGGAAACGGAGGGCACGAGCAGTGTCTAAAAGATGACGATGCTTTCGTTCGACGACCCCGTTCTGCTGCGGCGTATTAACACAGGAAGTCTGCAGTACTATCCCGTGATCAGCATAGTAACGACAAAGAGAATTTGTCTGGAACTCCAACCCATTATCGGTCTGTATACGGCGAACCTGCCGTGGAAATTGAGTGACGACCATCTGACAAAACATGAGTAGGTATCGCTCAACATCGGACTTGTATTTGAGCAAATAAACCCAAGTAGCCCTGCTATAGTCATCAACCACTGTCAAGAAAAACCGTGAACCATCGAGTGCCGGAGTTTTATAACCTCCCCAGATATCCAAATGTATCAAATCAAAACACCCTTGAGTTGTAATGGAACTAGAAGAAAACACAGTACGAGTCTGTTTGGCCCGCCAACAAGAATCACAATGAGGCTGAGGCGAAATAACAATCTTTGAACCCAAAACAGATCGTAAAACAGAAAGTTTGTCAAAAGAGGGATGCCCCAATCTTTGATGCCAAAGCTGATGCTCTTTGGTACCCGATGCTGCAAAAACTTCAGGCAGCCGCCGTGTGTCCAGAAAAGCCGGGTTCACCTTCTCGAAGTAATATAGGCCATCACGAAGGCTCCCCAGTCCAATCACAGTCTTGGAACATGAGTCCTGGATCACACACATAGTACCGTGGAAAGTCAAGGTGATAGCATGATCCTGTGTAAGTCTACTCACTGAGAGAAGATTGCATTGGAACTCAGGCACAAGAAGTACACGACGTAAGGTAATATGATCATTGAGAACCACTGTACCAATCCCTTCAACTGGAATGCTCTTACCATTCGGAATACGAACAGACGAATAAACACCTGAACGATCTATGCTATCTAACCAGGCAGCATCACGAACAATGTGTTCGTTGCAGCCCGAATCAAGAAGCCATTCACAGGGATGAGTAACATTACCAGCCATATGTGCAGTCGGGTCGGCAGGAGGCGAAGCCGCGATTGAAGCGCCCAAAAATTGTTTCAGGTAGGCGAATTGAGCCCCGGTCAGCCCAGGAATCGGGCTCTCATCGCCGCTGACCTGCGACGCGCTAGCTGGAACCGAGCGAAGAGAAGGCTCGGCCTGCTGCTTCCCTTTCTTCCCTTTGCCTTGCGCAGATGGGTAGCCAATAAGCTTGAAACACATGTCCTTCGTGTGCCCTCTTTTACGGCAATGCTCACAACGAGGCTTATCATCCTCTTCTGCCTCCACCCGAGTTTGAAAAGCAGCCGAATCCACAACCGGACGTCGCGCAGAGGTAAGCTGCCATTGATGTTCTTCCGCGGCAACCATTTGGTACGCCTCTGCCAAGGATGGTGTCGGCTTCAAACTCAGAATTTGTGTACGAACAATTGCAAAAGTGTCATCAAGGCCCAGGAGAAAGTCAAAAAGACGCTCAGTCTCTAACTTCTCCCTTGTTTGTTTCGCTATGTCACATGAGCAGCCATTACACGTACACTTGGGATTGATAGAAACAGCCTGGAGTTCATTCCACAAGGTACGCATGTTGGTGAAGAATGCGCTCACAGACTGCTTGTCCTGGCGAAGAGAGCTAATCGCGCAACGAAGCTCATAAGCGCGACCAGCTGAGCTAGTGCCGAAACGCTGCTGAAGGTCCGACCAAATTTCGCGGGCTGTTTTGGCACCGCGAACACTGTTACGTACTTCCTTGTTCATGGAAGTCTTGAGCCACCCCTTGACGGTGGCATCGCATCTATCCCAGGCGTCCAGGTACATGGCGCTGGTGCCGGCGGCTGATCGCGGCAGCGTACCATCAACAAAGGCACGCTTGTTCTTGGCAATGAGAGTCTCCATCATGTCGGCTGACCATTCACCATAATTGAGGTCAGTCAAAAGATCACTACCGAAGAGCTGACCTGGGTTCTCGGAAGGATGTAGGAACAGCGGAGAGGAAAGGGGGATCGAGGAGAGCACATCGGCGCCGACGAGTGGTCCTTTGGTCGCGCTCGAGGAATCCTCCGTCTCCACCATTGTCAATCGATTATAAGCTGAATCGATTACTGCTCTGATACCATGTAAAATCTAGTGAATGCGGAAAGTAAAGAGACGACGATTTACGTGGTATCCCCGTCAATCGACGGGACTAATCCACGGTGAGCAGAGTTCGAGTAGGGTTTTCACTATGAGAGAACAGAATAGAAATCTGTCTCGTATATGTTACAGAAACAGCCGCACAAGAGGCTTACTAATACCCTTCTATCGTGAGTAACCTAGGGTAATTAGGAGAGGCTATAAAATAACCAATAAGTACCCAAAACAAGTACTAATGACAAATACACGTCAACAAGTTTCAATTCAAAACGAAAGAATAAAGTCCGCTAAAATTTATTGAGAGAAAGTTAATAACCTTTCATAAATTGTAAATATAGCGTTTATGCACTTTTAAATTATACAAGGGAACCGCTCCCATTGCTAACCCTTAAACTATTATTAGAAATAGATAGACTTTTGATTTAGTAAATTATTTAGGCGTTTGAAGTCGAATATAATTTACATTTGAATCCTTGATAATAGAATTATTAACATAATCTACTGAGCTCGGCCATTAAGATGACAATAGACCTATGATTGCAACTCACATTACGCGGCTTCGTGGATTGATTAAGGGATTTGGAAGAGAGGATGTTGGCCAAATGATCATAATGTGGAGGAACGAAGTTAGTTGGTTGTTGGGGACTTGAGACGTACTTGCTCAATATCATTATGGCTTGCCGTCTAATAAGTGCACTATCTAGCTACTCTAATGTATATCTTCATAGTCAACTTTAAAATGATAATTACACTTTTTTCCTGCCGACGTTTATTTTTGGCCGAGCTTTTGCGGAAATTCATCGAAATTGTCAAACTACATCAATATGTCGATTTGACAAGTAGTATGGTATAACTGGTAGTACAACTTGTATCGATTTTAGCAAAAAATATATTATCTATTCATGAAGGAAGGAAAATAGAAGGTGGGATAAAGGGGAAATTAGAGGAATTCATAACTTTTTCATTGTTCATAAAATTTGCAGTTTGTGGTGAAAACAACTTTTGTCTCTTATTGGATTTTTTTCCCTTCAAAATTGAACACCACTTTCCGCTCATCATTTCACTATCTTCAAATATTTACTCCTTTCAAAATCTCCTTTCACCTCAGTTTATCCCCTCAAATGTGGGAAATCATTAACACTAAATGAATTTAGACATATATATAAATATAAAAGTATATAACATATTTGAAGACAATCTCTCCAAAATCTACATCCATATCTAAATAAAATACAACATAAAAAAAAAATCCACATATGCAAATACAAGATTTAACTCCAATATCTAAACGTTTGTAGTTTATACTTCATTCATAACAGAGACATCTAAACATTCATAATTTGAATTCAACACATAACATCAATATTTAACTTTTTAATTCAAGAATCAAATCATTTGTTTTGTTAATTAAAGTCATCAAATCAACATCATTCTATTGAAAGGTCAAGTTGGTTATGTCGATCGTACCAAGGACATTCTAGTCGATTTTGTAACTGATAACGGTTGAAGCGGCCGGCATGCCACTGATTTGATAACCATGAATATCACATATAGCATTTACACGTTCACACAATTTTATCAATTAATCATGCAAATTCATTTTTGTCATATAATTACACTAATCTCATTTACCAATCAAATTAATTTTCTGCCCCAATCAATTCATTCTATGAAGTAATTCTGTAATCTCGGACTATTTATTATTTCGTAATTAATAAAATTCAATGAAGTAATTCTGTAATCTTGAACCATGTAGAGAAGACTATTTTGTATGAACAGGCTTTTACAAAAGTTCCAGTTAGAGTCATTCTCTTGTTTCATAATCGTGAGACATCACATACAAAATAACCATTTTCATTCGGTAAACTAAATAACGAAAAATATTAAAAAGGTTACAAGAATAAGAGCTTGATGCTAACACCGAGTAACGGACGCAACTTCGAGTTTCGTCAAACAAACACATTTAAGTAGAGGGATGTGCAACAGTTTGGTTTGGTTCGGACCGGACCAAACTCATGAGCATCCCGATACATTAGTGAAAAACATGTTAGTATTAAGAACGGAGAACTGGACCATCATTGCATTCGATCCATTTGATTCGAATCTTTATGGCCCAAATATTAGTTCGGTCCATTATTTCTTCAATAATTGTAAAATTCATGAAGACCAAGAATCGAACTGCATTATAATCGGTGCGTTCCGATCCAAACTTCGGTTTGATCCAATGTGGTCCCGTACGGATCGAACCATTGCACAGCCCTAAATTTAAGTATGCGGCAGAACAAATCAAATCTATCAAATCCTCATTTTCTTTGAGAGCGAGAGGAAGAAAAAGAAGAGCCACATATGCACATAATTGCATAAATTAGGAGACATGAAAAAAAAAATCGACGACTCTCAATTGCTGAACACCACCTGCCTCCATTCAATGCTTAATGCTACGTAGCTGGAACTATTTACTAACGTACTACGTAGTATACTAGTTCGACCACCACCCCACACTATAAATAGCGGCTCGTTCGCCTACTCAGGTATCTACTACTCAAGCAAAGTCATCAAAATAGTACATTGGGTAATCAATTTCTGTGTTCTTTTGTCGAAATGGGGAAGCTGGTGACTTCCAAGTATGTTGGAGCCATCCTTGTTGTGATGCTGGCATTGGGTCTCGGCCTAGCACAATGCCGTAGGCTGGAAGAAGATGAAGAGAATGAGACGATTGGCCGCGGAGCTGGCGGTGGTGCCGGTGGGGGTGGAGGTTTCGGAGGAGGCCAAGGTGGAGGAGTAGGAATCGGTGGTGGTGGCGGCGCTGGAGGTGGTGGAGGGTTCGGAGGAGGCAAAGGTGGAGGGATTGGAGGTGGTGGCGGCGCCGGAGGTGGTGGAGGGTTCGGAGGAGGCAAAGGTGGAGGAATTGGAGGTGGTGGTGGCGCCGGAGGTGGTGGAGGGTTTGGAGGAGGGAAAGGTGGTGGTGCTGGAGGCGGAGCAGGCGGTGGTTTTGGCGGCGGCAAGGGCGGAGGTAATGGTGGCGGTGAAGGGGGTGGCAAAGGCGGAGGCGCTGGTGGTGGATTTGGAGGTGGTGGAGGGAAGGGTGGAGGAGGTGAAGGTGGAAAGGGTGGAGGCAAAGGAGGAATTGGAGGTGGTCATGAAGGTGGTGGCATTGGTGGAGGTAAAGGCGGCGGGATAGGAGGAGGTGCTGGTGGTGGTGCCGGTGGTGGCTTCGGAGGAGGAAAAGGCGGAGGCTCTGGCGGTGGAATTGGTGGAGGCAAAGGAGGTGGCCGTGAAGGTGGAGGCATTGGTGGTGGTAAAGGTGGAGGGTTTGGAGGTGCTGGAGGCGGCAAAGGTGGAGGATTCGGAGGTGGTGGAGGTGCCGGAGGCGGCAAAGGTGGAGGATTTGGAGGTGGCGCCGGAGGCGCAGGCGGCAAAGGTGGAGGCGCTGGAGGAGGCAAAGGCGGAGGATTTGGAGGTGGTGGAGGTGCCGGAGGAGGCAAAGGTGGAGGATTTGGAGGTGGTGGCGGTGCCGGAGGCGGCAAAGGTGGAGGCATTGGTGGTGGCGCTGGAGGCGGCAAAGGCGGAGGATTTGGAGGCGGTGGAGGTGCCGGAGGAGGCAAAGGTGGAGGATTTGGAGGTGGTGGTGGCTTTGGAGGAGGAGCTGGAGGAGGGTCCGGCGGCGGCTTTGGAGGTGGAGCTGGTGGCGGTAGCGGAGGTGGAGCTGGTGGTGGCTTTGGTGGAGGGAAAGGAGGAGGTGGAGGTTTCGGCGGCGGCCGTGGCGGCGGAGGGATTGGTGAAGGCTATTAAGTATAGCTTCATCGCACAAACGAGCTATGTATGTAACACTCCGACTAGGCATGGGAGTACAAGCTAGTGAGCTAGCCTATTACCGAATGAACCACATAAATAAAATGCAGAAGCATTAATCAGTTAACTAATCAGATTGCTTCCTTTCTATGACTGCTTTTTATTTTTGATAATCCTATGACTACTTTTTATCAGTGAACTTGGATCCGATTTATTCCAATATCTGTATAAAAAAATCGTACCTAAAATTAAACCGGTAAGATGAACTATTATAAATTAACCACAGAAGATTGGAACTGGTAGTGGTAGATAAGACCAAATATTTTGTAAAGTAACAGAACTGAATAATAGTGGATCAAATGAAAAGCTAAACACGAAGATCAAAAGAAGCAAGTTAAGTCCGAGTATGTATGGGCAGTAGAAGGATCTGACTTGCCACTGAATGAGCAATCTGTTAGCAGAACGGACGGATGCAGGGAGGCCAGCCGCCGGTTATCGGACTTGTACGGTAACGTTGGCAGCCGGCCGTCTGCAATCACAGGTACAGATACTTCTGGACTCCTTCACCACCCGCTGAGATCTTCGAGTGTGTAGCTTAATATTCACCACTTTACCGGCAATCATTCTCCAGGCCAAGTCTTCAGGACCCAATGGTTGAGCTGGACTTGAGTACACAAAATGCCTCGAGTACTGACCGAATCGAGAAAGTTACTTCAAATTAGCAGTAATCAGCAAATACTACATTCAGAACCATACAAAGGAAGGCAATGACAGCAGCGGATTGTGTAGAATGTGATACAATGAGTACAGAAAGGAACAAAAGAAGTGAACGCTTGTAGGGAGTGAATAAAAAAAATTCAAACCTTGGCAAGGTTTGCTTGCATCTGTTTTATCTCAGCACGACTGACACCTCTTAAGAACTTCAGTAGCCAACCTGATTGTAAAGCATCACCCGAAGAAACAAACAGAGCTATCTGCATTCAAGCAAAACTTTGGATGTACGAGTAAGCAAGAAAGCAAGCGATCAAAACTACCACTCTGAGACGCGAAAACAAACTGCCATAATACATTCACTTGCCTAACAGTTTGTATTTCGGTATTCACTATCAGCATTGACAAAGTAGGAGCAAAGTGAATTCAACCACCATTTAGGTTGGATGAAAACCCTTGTGAGAAACTGAACTTGTAAACAAGATAAACCAAACAGACAAGGTTTTTGTTCAACTTTGGAGGTCAGCTCAGCATTTTGATGCTGTTGATTATCATCTACGCATCTTCACAACATAGCTTTCCCATTTCAACAAATAGAGGGGTGCCTACCTTTCTGTAGTCAAGAATTCCTTCGAAAGGAAGCTCCAACTCATCACTAACTATGACTGGAATGCATCCACTGACAATCGCATCAAATAGCCTTGCAGATGATGGAGTGTCTCCAGCTGGATTCAAGCAGAAGATGGACCTGAATAGAAAGAGTTAGAGTAACTAGCCAACATTAAATAGATCATAAAGAAAAGCATTGGAAAAAATGGCGACACTGTTGCTTACTTGCGCATGCCATTTTGAGCTGCTTCTTTTCCTCTCTCACCAGCTGTGCCCTCCTGTATTATCACATCTTCAACTCCACTTAGTTCTGCAACTAGCTTAGCACGTATCTTCCCACCCTGAAGAAAAGTAAAGGGAACACTAAGCACCAAAATCCAGGTAAAAGAAATGCTGCCAACCAAACATGTATACGATCTTAAAGAAAATATCTTTTGGCACAAAACGTTAGGAAATGAACTCCAAAACTGTGCAGCCCCAACAAATAAAAACTTGGTGGTCAGCAATCTTATCCATCTGAATAAATGCAATCCATTTAAGCAAATTAGAATGATTTGGCCAGACAGATATACTATAGATTGCGCAATTCTCAGTTAGTTGCAGGAAAAGTATCAATAATCATGACCCAAAGATATATCTTACAGCATTTCTCTTGAGCCGTCCCCTGAAAAACAGCAAGGTTTTCCTCTTTGATTCAGTTTCAGACAGGCAGTTTGCATCACATAGATCAACATTGGCGACATAAGGCAGGATCAAGTCCTTCTCCAGGTAAACTTGTCCTGGCTTATACCTACAGCATGCAGGTGAAGCATTACCATATACATTACACACCAAGAAGCTAGCTAATGAGTGAGATTTCATTTGAACAAGAACACGAATCTAAACTCTTACCAGTTCCCCGTGGAATCCATATCCGGTAACAACCAAATAGCCTTCTTCACGTATCTACGAACCGACTTGAACGACCATGGATGATGCACAGGAAGTATGTGATCCCTCCCTTCAGACCTCTTCCAAGCAGGCTGTTCTGTTATCCATTTCAGAGCTTCCTACAGCAGCAGACAGCTGTTAATGGAAGTTAACAAAATGAGATAGATCATAGATGCCATAGCAAAAGAAACATTTAAAAACAGCTGAAATAAGAGAGCACTCACACCCTATAAAGCGACTTGCAATCCTGCTTCTCCAGCAAGAAGAAGCTGATGGTCGTGAAGAAAGGAATGTAGAACAGATCGGCATCTTCCTGGTGATCAACTCTGATCACAATGTTCCTCAGTGGCCGCTCCGACTGAGGAGATATCAAATCGGCCCAAAGCCAATAGTCGACCGAGTGCTGCTCGATGAGTCGATGAACAGGGCTGCCATTGGAGGTGAGGTTGTTGGTGTCTCGATAAGTTGTGGCAAACAATCGAAGCAATTCGTAGGTGAATTTGTGTGGCATGTTGTACACGTAAACCCTGATCGGCAAATCGAGCGGGTAATTAGGGTTCTGGGGACGGTATATTCGGTCGGTCTCGCGGAGGAAGACGGCGTCGTCTAAGGCGGCGGGAGCGCCGTGGCCACCGTTTTCGCCGGCGTCGGGAGGGATGGGGCGGGAGAGGAAGTTGTGTAGGGAAGTGACGAAGGAGGTTTCAGGCCGGCGGGAAGAGACGGCGGTGGGAAGTTCAGGGGAGGAAGGAGGAGAAGATGAGGAGGATGAGAAAAGGAAGAGCAGAAGGAGAAGAGAGATGGCGGCGATGAAGAATAGGAAGATTGGGGATCTGGATCTGTAGGAGAATTTACTGCCTGCCATTTTTTCTTCTTCCACCTCGAGCTCAGCGGCTTTCTTCTCCGTTTCCTTCCTCTGCCTGCTCTTCTCAGTTCTCACACCGTTCAGGAGAAGGAAGACGATGATGCGATGGATTGGGCTTCACTCATTCCTATGGAAAATGAGCTCTAAGGAGTAAGGACTAAGGTATTGAGTGGAGGTCAGGCCCATTTTACGCAGAGGAACTATCCTTACTGGTTAATGAATCACGCGCTTATCAAGGTTTAGTGTCCAACTCTAGAAAACCTCGTCCGAAATTCGATTCGTCTTAATCGAACTGGCTCATGAATAAACTCGTTAACTAAATGAGCTGAACTCGAATCATATCATGTTCAGCTCGAAAGCTCGGGAACAAGTTCATTAAACGGTTTGGCATCAGAAAGGATTGGAATTCATGGACTTTAAGTATTGAAATTGGGATAAATTTGTGTTTTATTTTGCTAGACTTTGCTATAGGTTTTAATGTAATTTTGTGCTCATTTCTAGCTCAATCTTGAGCTATCATGAACATTTTATGAGTTGAACTCGATTTTTGGCTCGTTAAACTTATTTGACGAGCCGATCTCGGACTTTCATTTTCATAAACGAGCCGAACTCGAACTTGCATTTTCATAACTAAATGATTTGGCTCGCTAACTATGAAAAATTCAGCTCGGCTTGGCTCATTAATAGCCCTAGCTGCAACAACTGTTGACCAAAAGAGTCTCTCTTAAGCATACCATTTGTTTGCACGAAGACTGCTTAAGAACGTTGTGATGTCTCTCGTCGCCATAGAAACCTAAACCTAACTAAAATAACAAGGGTTCGAACCTAAAGAAGATATAAAAGGTAAGGGGTCGGGGAATTTTTCTCCCATTCATAGATCACAAAAATCCTGGGAATGTTTTCATTCTTTGTCCATTCTTTCTAGTATTTTCTATACCAAACAAATTAGGAATAGGGAATCACTATGAAGGGGAAGCTATAACTGTTGGAATAAATGAATCCATGGTTATGGAATTAGCTTCATTTCGGTCAGTAAAATTGATAAATTAGGCGAAGATGAAGATGCTGAAAGAGAGGGATTCAAACCCTCAGTAAATAAAAGCCTACATAGCAGTTCCAATGCTATGCCTTGAACCACTCGGCCACCTCTCCTACATATATTATCTACTCTTGGAAATGGACCTGCAAATATATGGTTCACGCAAACTAAAATAGTTGCAAGGAAACATGGCCTGCACCTAGTATAAGTTTAAAACCCGAATCCTAAATAAAACATGGCATTATTCTCCACATAACAAATTAGTCGCTTACATCCTGTGGCAAATCTGAAACATAAAATTCCATAAAGAAAGACCACAAGAAAAACATTGGCTTTATAAGAATAAGGAAGCTATAGATGTGACATTCACTCGAATTGAATAGTAATTTGATCTCATTTAATTTCCTTCAATATCTCATAGTTTTATTTACACAAATAGATAAATTATGGTATAGATGAAATATATACCTAATACCTGTTGAATTCACAAAATTTTAAGGTCTAGTTATTGAGCGGTTTCTCATGCAAAGACCTAAATATTGAGTGCTTGCTAATACAAATATTATGAGGATTGTATTACTCATGTAATAGCTATGTATCATGCATATAATAATATGGATGGTTGTATTTTATTTATGTGTCAAGAATAGGATCATGCACTTATTGCACTATTCTACTATTCAGTGAGAAGATAGAGTGCTAACACCTTCATTAAAAATAGGGATGGCAGTAGAACCTGAATCTGCCGGTACTCTACCCGACCCAACCCGGTCAATGCGAGTAAAACCCGCTTTGATGTATTGCAGGTCGGGTTTAAACTCACTATACTTTTTGCAGGTTGGGTTTGGGTTTAGCCATATCCAACCCGTGGATCCCCGCACCCATGTTCATACCCCCACGACCTACGGGACCCTTAACTAATTAACTATAATTTCTAAACTAATTTCTCACACGTTCAATTAATCATATTATTTGTGGATGTTTATCTTTAATATTGAACTAGTATGAATGATTTGTGAGTTAGTGTGTATGTAGTAGACAATAGTAGTGAAAACTAGTGTAATTACATCTTTGTACATGAACCCATGGGTAACCATGAACCCGTGGATACCCAGCGTGTTGGGTTGGGTTGGGTTGGGTTTGAGTTTTTAAAATCCAGTGGGTTTTACCCTATGTTTTTTTGGTGGATAAACCCATGGGTTTTGGTTTGGCATAACCCGCCCCAAACGATCCATTGCCATCCCTAATTAAGAGTACTATAGTAATTACTCCCTCCTTTGCCTCTTTCTCTATGTTGACCCTCCTTTGCCTCTTTCTCTATGTTGACGTCATAAGGTTATATATACAACTTACCGTTTTGGTACTCTAACTTAATACATCTTTATATTTAGTGCCTATTTTTTAAATATAAGTCCTAAAAATATTGATGAAAAATTACATTTTCGTACCTGCATTTTTTCTCCCTTATATTTTGGTGCCTGAACTTAAAAGTTTACAAATAGGTCCACTGCTTAAGAAACTTCTGGGACACTTTAAGAAACTTAGTGGCCTGGATTTTGTGGTTTGTGGGGAGAATGCTTCAAGAGATCTGATCATAAACACGTTGGATTGGCCTACCAACTCCATCACGTATTACAGACTAAGCTGATATGATTCTGTCACCGTTAATCTCATCTAATCATTTAATTTCGCCTACTGCTCAGTGGAAGGGGAAGGTTAGGCAGTAACAATCACCCCAGCTTGTAAAATGGAGGCGAATCAACCAATCATGGAAACCAACCAGCAAACTGGCAACGGCGTCGTACGTAACAAGACAAAGAGGAAACTAATTGATGTCTCTTTGCTTTATTTAGCTGCTGAGACTGATACTTTTGCTTGGCCGGCCATCCCAAACTACTGCCTTTAATTCCCCTCACCTTATCAGTTAGGTTTGTCTGATTAATTACAAGCTGTGGTTCGGTTACATAGTATTTAATTATCCGCTGTGAAAAAAAAACCCCACATTCAAGAAAAAAAAGAATGTATCGGACGAATGAGATACAAATCAATTCAGTCACTGTTTAAAAAATTGAGGCTGTGATTACAGCAAGCTATTCCGAATTACAGAATAATAAAAGTAACATAGAAACTAATGTTCTCATAACCGGATTGGATGTTCAATGAAAAAAATTTTGGTTCAATAATTAACTATTATAAAATCGTTGGTTAACCGTCATTAGAATTGTTAATATGCTATGATATAAAAGACATATATAATACACTAATTTAGAAGTGAATTTATCATTAGCCATGAAAAATTCCAAATCCACATCAACTATGACCAAAAAGTTTTAACAAACCATTTAAGAAGACTGAGAAAATGAAAAAAATAAAGCATAAATGAAATCTACAAAATATATAAAGCATATTCATGAGTTGGATTTGCTCCATTTTGAAAATGCAGCCCCCAGATTGATTTGCGGAAGGTCACTTCGGTGATTTCACTAATAAACTTAAACGGTGCTGTGCATTTAATTATTAAAGAGCCCACTTTTCTTTCCAATACATTAGCCCGACGGTATTCACTCTAATATTTGGGCCTGTCGTCATATTTTCCAGATTCACACAATATTGGTGGGCCGTGGCTTCCATTTTGAGTTTTTGACGTTTTAATACACTTAAACTGAATGTTTTTTTTTTGGAAACAATACACTTAATTTATTTGTTAGCTCCAAAAATAACCAATTAAATTACTTGAAGATTTCAACATTTTTTAGAGGTGCCCCAATAAATGAATCGCTAGAGGTATTTATATCTTCTTAGTCTTACTGTGTCCTTTCTAAAAGCAGTCTCTTAGGATTTATACAAATACTTCTAGTTTTGTGGCAGTTAGGGTAGTTACCATTTATTAGTAAAAACCTTCAAATTTTTTAAATTATTCGTCAAAATTTTTAAAATACAAAATATTAGTCAAATATTAACTTTTCGTTAATAGTTTTGTTAGTAATATTGACTTGCTAACATGATATTAACTTGAAAAAGACACGTGGCGGCGGTCAACATTTCCAAAATTTTAGTATTTTAACTAAGAAAAGACTTACAAAATTACTAACAATAACAAACAGATGACTAATATTTTGATGCGCTGCGAAATATTTAACTAACATTTTGTATTTTGAAAGGATAACCCAATAATTTAAAAAGTTTGAAAGTTTGACTAATAAATTGTAGGGTAAACTTAATTATTAGTCAAATATTCCTGCATTTTTTTATTAGCTAAACCTGTTGAATTAATTATAATTAGCCAAATGTTAATTTCAATTAGCAATTTTGTTAGTAATATTGACTTGGCAACATGATACTGACTTGGAAGAGACACATGCAGGTCACCATTCCAAGAATTTAGTATTTTAAATAAGAAAGGAGTTAACAAAATTATTAACAATAACATAAAAGTGGCTAATAATTTGATGCATTAAAAAAAATTTGGTTACTTATTATTAATAATTCAATAAGTTTAGCTAATAAAAAAGGGAGAAAGATTTGACTAATAATTAGTGTTTGCGTATTGTCCAAATATGTTTTAAACTCACCATTGATTTGAATATATTTACAACAGTCACACTTCCATTGACAAGGAGACACAGCTTTGTGAATTTTGCAGCATTTATCATTTGATGGCATTGGCTATGTTTAAAACTTATGAATATTGTATAGGTTTATAGGTGTCAAACTTCCATTGACAAGTGATGTAAATGTAATTGTTGTGAGTTTTTCAGGGTCGTGATTATACCATTTGAGGAGGCTTCATCTAAGATTTTTGCGTGGTATGGTCATCACCAAGGAGGCAATTTATTGTCCAGCTTAGTATTTGTTGATGACTCTGCATGAACTTCTTACTACAGTTCTAGTGTAGCAGTTAGCATCTAAGGACCTTCAATCTATTACCGGTATGTAAGTGCACTTGATATTTTCGAATTCCGAATTCTGTTTTATCATAATTCTACCTAACAAGTCAACTAGCACCAAATGATATGGTCATGCTAAGTTACTCGGCTAACATCCGAGCCCATTGCTAGTTAGTTAATGAAGTTAGATGGTTGTAATTTACAGTAAGATTTTTTCCCCTTCAATTCTTGTGGTTAAATAGTGAACTAGCAAAC